GTGTGTCAGCTAAAAGTTGCAGCTTCCCCTTCATATTGGTTTCTGCCTGGGTTAAGGTGGGACTTGTAGTACTGAATTGTCCTCACTGATGATGAAGTAGAAAGCCCAGCACGACAGGAATTGCATTCCGCCCACAGATCAGGATCCGCAGATGCCCCTTTGCTCTCCATTATGTGTGTAGTCCCTCTATGGCTGAAAGGGCCACCAATGCCATCAATGTATAATTTTTGGTATTTTCATTCACTTTCAGTGATTCACCAGGACAAATAGAGAGGGTGAATATCCCCAATGGGGACACACAAATAAAAACCTGACAGGGAGTCCCATTCCCAAACCAAAATGGCTTCAGTTACTTTAAGCTGAACACACACTGGCAGAATTTTAATCAAAATACCAATGTTCTGAAAAAATGTTTTTAATGCTTAATGAGGTGAAATCATCCATTGTTTTCAAACCGCATGAAATGAGAAAATGAGCATTTCTCTCGTTTCTTATATGAAAGAACGAAATTCTGTCCGTCAAAGTGATTTCCATCGGGGAAAACCCAAACATTCCATTACGCACATGTGATTGCCATGAAAGAACCCTCTATAAAAGCAGACCTTTACCCCCTTGGGCTAAAAAATCACCTCGGCATGCAGCTCTGAACGCTGACATGAAATCCTCTGACATTCATTAGACAAACATTTTTCTTTCACTTATGTAAATCAGTTTTTCTACTTCCTGGTCCTCTTGGGCATTAGTGATGTAATGGGCCCAAGCTTTGCATCCTGGGAAGGATACATCAGCAGAGCATTGCTGGGAAATCTCATCTGTATTCTCACGAGATCTCAGGAAAAGGCATTTTCCTCCCCTGAGATGACGTGCATGGTCACATGTCCTAGTCACATGGGCCAGAGTCCCAGGAAGTAAAAGGAGATACAGTAATCTGCCCTTAGTAAAAATGGCCGCTGTGAGAAGACCGGGGAACAAAAGAAGAATCAGGTATACAAAGAATAAAAAGCCAGCAATTATCTAGAAGTATGCATTTGTAAATTGTCATTACTAAAGGCGTGTTTGTTGTCATTTCAATGATCTGGGTAACGTACCGCTAGAACCTTGGTTCTCAACTGGTGGGTCATGACCCAAAAGTGGGTCGCCACGTGCCTTCCACTTTTCTAGGCGAGAGGCTCCTCTTCCTCCCCCTAGTGCAGCACTGTCAGTTCTCGTGCCAAACAGCCATTCAAAATATGCCCGAGTGTCAGCTTCAGGTGGGGTGGGCTGGAGCAATGGCTACGAGGGAGCTCCATCCGTACATGCATTGCTTACAGCTTCCTCACATGCCCTGTAGGAGGTGCCTGGACCGGACTGACCTCACATTCTGGTTTCCGACACCTCTACAGGGCGCACAAGGGAGCAATGCGCATATGGATGGAGTTTTGTCACAGCACAACAGTCTACACTGGACCCCAGGCTGAGGATCTACTCCAGTTCTTGTAAGTAGGGAGACTGGGTGGACCGACCACGTGTTCTGGTGTGGGAGGTGTGTTGCGTTGCTATTCATTTGAATGGCACCCCAAACCCACAGTTTGATTGCCCGCACCTGAATGCACGGTACCGCAATGCTGTGCGTTCCATTGCAGTGCGATCTGGGGCACGACTTGATGACCAAGGACAAATGCGGGTCCCGATCTTACACAGGTTGAGAACCACTGCTCTAGAACACGTCGGGGGTTCCATTCTAGTAGCAGATCTGGTCCAAATTTTAAGGGTTTTGGAATGAAAGTGGTTGTCTCAATGATGGCGGGATCAGACTCTCTGATGAGCGATGTTTCAGAATTTGTACAAATGTCCAAGGACCCTGTAGCACACCTTACCAGACTCCCCATGTGGAAAAAAATGGGTGCTCACAATGACTATGGATGGCGCCGTATCAAGTAAAACATTGTATATAGATGTCATCAGCACTCCAAATATGACAGAATACTCTACTTCAAAAATAACAATTCACTAAAACCTTGACGTATTCTGTCATATTTGGAGTACTGATGACATCTATATACACAACGTTTCAGAATTTGTAACGCAAGTTGGAAGGATCGGATGTATAACGAGCTTCAGAGAAGGTCAGACCTTGGCAGCCCTCGTGGGACTTGTAGTTCCACAACGGCCGGTGTGCCGAGGTTGCCTATCCCTGATTCAGAGGTTTGGGACTGCACCTTGCATACTAGTGTATGTACTACATGTGCCAGCGACTGCGTTCAGGGGTCTTTTATGAACAATGGCCGCCATGTCATGTGTTCTGTTGGATTTTCCGGCAACGGCAAAGCGCACGGACAAGAGAACACGGCTCTCCATGGACTCTGCACACACGGGTCCTGCTCGCTTTATTTTGCTGCACTTAGTCATTAGAGCCAATGCGGCTCTTTCAGAATGTAACACGCATGTCAACGCGAGCCGCTATGTTGTGGATGAGGCCTTCCCCTAGAAGCATGTTCTTTATTACACTGAGATGAAAGTTTTTTAGCATTTAAAAAACAAAGAGATGCATGACCCCCCCCTGCTGCTGCTTCTGCTCACTGGAGGCAGCTGGCAGGTCATGCTACAACAAGGGTAGGCAACCTCAGCAGTCAATATGTGAGGGAACTACAAATCCCAACATGCTTCTGCCTCTGGGAGTCATGCCTGTAGCTTTCAGTCTTCCAATGCCTCATGGGACTTGTAGTTGCACAACAGCAGCAGGGCTGCCACTGTGCTACACGTTCCAGTTCATCAGCAGCAGGACGGCAGGTCAGGGATTGCATCCAGTCTAGTGCAGGGGTAGGCAACCTCGGGCATGCCAGCTGTGCTGGAACTACTAATCTCTTTAAACCTCTGAATCTGCTTCATGCTGGGACTGTCAGTCTTGCAATGCCTCATGGGACTTGTAGTCCCACAGAAGCTGGTGTGCCGAGGATGCCTACCATTGGTCTTCAGATTCTGGAAAAATACGTGGCATATGGTTTGCTGCCATGCTGACCTCCCGGGAAAGGCTGCACGCTGCTAGGACATAGTGAGGTGACTACAAAGCATGTCGAGTGCCCCGAGGTCTGAAGTCGCAGCCGACTCTTCTCCATTCTCCACTTGGAGGAAGGACCAGCAAACACAATCTAGGGCAAGGGTAGGCGACCTTTGGACTCCAGCTGTGCTGAAACTACAAAGCCCATCATGCTTCTGCCTCTGGAACTCGTGTATGTGGTTGTCAGGAGTCTTGCAATGCATGATGGGACTTGTGGTTCCACAACAGCTGGTGTGCCAAGGTTGCCTACCCCTGATCTAGATGTCTGGGAGTGCACCTTGCAACCCCTCTGTCCATGCACAGTGCTGAACAGATCCCGGCAGGCCAGGATTTCAGCCAATACAGAGCTTGTATCACTGCCACGGTGAACTATAAGTCACAGCAGGTCAAGGAGAGCTTTGTGTCCAGAAACCTGATGCCGCAACTTGCACCCGTCTGACTCCCAAAATACTGCCGGCACCTGCAATGGCTGACAGTGGTAAGGTCCCACACTGATCAGCTGGGTCCCCATACTTTTTAAAGGGCAAATTAATCAATGATTGCAATTGATCTGGAGACAGAGCCTGTGTCCCTTTCCATCCTCAGTCGGGGTGAACTACAAGTCCCAGCACATTCAGACCTATATACAATCTGTTGAACTACATGTCCCAGAATACAATCTGTAGATCTGGGGTCACAACTTACACAATGTGCTGAACTGCATATCCCAGCATAACAGATGCTGCACACGTTGTAGAGCATGCAACCTGCTATCCACCTACCGTGCTGAACTGCAGGTCCCAGCATGCCATGACTTGCATACAGTTGAGATTTCTGTAAGATCTGGGGTCACGGTGACACCATGCGCCCCCCTCCCAGTCCACCACTCATAATGAAGCGCCCCCTTTCTCCACCCCTACCCCCCCCCCAATCGAACCACAAGTCTTAGCAATCCATGCATTCACTGCAGAGCATGCACCCTCCTATATGAACTATCTTCCTCCATGTTGAACTGCTTGTCCCAGCATACCACCTGGGGATATAGGGTCACATCTTGCATCCCCTACCCCTCACTATGACGTGACCCACAAGTCTCAGTAAGGTCCGGCCTCCCTGTAGAGCTTGCATCCCCTCACACTGCTCAACTACACGTCCCAACAAGCCATCTTGTGTTCTGGGGTCACATCTTACACTCCGCCCTGTGTTGAACTACAAGTCTCAGCATGCCAGGGCCTGCCTTCATTGTCCAGCTGGCACCCCTCATCCCAACAAAACTACATGTCCCAGTATACCTTCTAGTGGGTCACATCTTGCACCCATCCCCCACCCAGATAAATCAGCATGCCATCTCCTTCCTTTACTGTGCAGCTTGTAGCTGCTGACCCCCGCCCCCCTCCCCCTCCTGATGGGCTA